TGCCCCAGGTGAGGATTGTTCCCTGGAATTAGGGAGGGAATAAGACCCCTTAACTAAGTGCCAGGCGGGTAGTTAATCACTTTACGAACAATCACGATTAAGCTACATAATCTTTACTCCCTGGAATGGAGATAAGAAACGCCCTAACCTTTGGAATAGAAATTGATAGGATTAAAATCAACTGGTATAAATACAGATGTAATAAGACAATAAAACACCGAACTTGGCTGGAGATCCTGGCTAGAGATCCTGGCTAGGCTGCTGATCAACTGAACTCTGTTTCTGTGTCATTCCTTCTTCGCTGACTCTGTCCACACTTTTGGGAACTCCTGGACCTACTGGGGCTGGACCCCAACAATAACCCACACTTGAGACATTCTTAGATAATCTTGCTTGGGTGATGAGGGAGCCTGTGCTACTGCTACCCACAGGACACCTTGCATAAAGCCACCACACTAAGACTGGGAGACATAGCATATCTACATAATACACAGAAACAAATAGAAAAAGGTAGCCAAAAAAGGAAACAAAGAAACATGTCCCAAATAAACAAACAGGAGAAATCCCCAGATAAAACTAATTAAATGAGATAGAGGCTAGCAATTTACCAGATACAGAGTTCAAAGCAATGGTTATAAGGATGCTCAGGAAACTTGGACTTAAACAAAGAGATACTAAGTATGAAAGAAGGCATAAAAACAAAAAAAAGAACCAGTCATAAATGAATACAAGATCTGAGATGAAGGATACATTAGAATGAATCAATAGTAAGTTAGGTTTTGTTTTGACAAGCTCTCCACGTGGTTCTTATTTTTTGCTAAAATTTAAGAACCTCACAGCCAGATCACCGAAGCGAGATGGAAGGCAGCCCCAGAAGTCAGGGAACGCCACCACCATGATTTCAAGTGTGCGTCCCGGGAACCAGAGCCCGGAGCCAGCGCCCAGAAAACCACAGGAGTAAGTACAAGGGAAAAGCGGATCCTCCAAGGAGAGCCCCAGGCCTTTACCACAAGGAGGGGGATGAATGTCAGGGAAAAGCAGGCTGTCCACTCCCCCTATGGAGGGGAGATGGCGCCTGGCGGCATTTTGGAGGATGAAATGGAATGGTGCATGTGAAAGTGCTTCTCAGTTGTCTGGCACAATATAACTGATTAGGGACTCGCATGAATTATTATTTTTTTTTTAGGAAAGCAGTACAATTGTGGCACTCGGGATGGTTAGGTCATATGACCTGTGTGTTTTAGATTATTAAAAATGACTAAAGTAAGCAAT